TGTGTGTGTGTGTGTGTGTGTGTGTGTGTGTGTGTGTGTAACAGGGGTGGCCACTCAGATGCTACTGTGGAATCAAGTAGCTTATTGGTGTTCTTTTAAGAATCTAGTGATGCTTTTTATGGTGTACCACTTTTTTTTCTTCTTTTGTGAATCCTCTGTTCAGGTCCCAGGTCCATTTTTGAATGAGTAATTTCTCTCTTTTAAAAATTCTCTGATACACTTCTTAGTTCTTTATATATTCTGGATATTAATCCTCTGTCAGATGTACAGCTGGCAAAGATTCTCCCCTATTCCGTACCAGGACAGACATGCATTGGAAAGTGCCCTTCAGTATGCTCACAAAGGTAGTGGCTTAAAGAACAGCATTCTTAGAGGCTTGGAAAAATCAACATGTGCAACCTCCGTGTGGCCTCCAGAAAAATCAACATGTGAAAAAGGACCCAAGAGCTTAGGGCTTGAGAAGCTGCCTGGACTGGAGGAGGTGACTCCGGCAGCAACTGAAATGATGAAGTGTGAGGCACTAAATGGAGAGGAAACTCAGAGGACAGGACCATCAATCACTGCCAGGCTTATCTTCTGACGGACTGGGACTCCAGCTTCCAGATGTTGCATTAAAATGTAATGCTCCCCCTGGGATTCACATGGCAGGCTTCCCCGAAGCAGCGGTTTCACTCAGCTAACTAATTATGAGAAAATGTGACATCGGTATTTCACTTTTTCTACAGGGACAAATCATTCCCAGCAGGAGGGAGAAGTTGTTATTTTTTATTCAGTTTTCTTTTGTCATTAAAAAGAAATTACTTACACAGCAGTAAATAAACTCTTGTTAGGGGGAAGGGACTTTCCTCCCTTCTTAATAACTGTCAATTTACCTTAATGCTGACAATCATTTCTTTGTTTTCCCAAAAATGTGGTGGAGTTGAAGAAAAAAAAGGATATTTTGGACATTGAATCTGGGTTTAAATTAACTCTCCCACTTAGTGGCTACGTGATATCAAGCCAGTTATTTAAAGACTTGTGTCCCCAGCCATAAAGTTAGGATGATGCATGCCATGTAGGCTATTAACTATTAATAATGAAATGGGAAAATGCAGTTAAAGTGTGTTAGCACAGTTCTGAGTAAGTGTGAAATACATTTTATCTTCTATTCTCTAAGACCCTGATACTGTGTTATGAACATAAAAATAATGTATGTGTCATCTATGCTTGGTATTGCCAATCTTACATGACCACTCATCCAATCCCAACCTCTTCTTTACTTGAAGACTACAAGTCAGATTATGTTTTAACATTTTGTTCTTCCTTGGTCTGATATAAAAATATAGGTTTCCAGTGAAAAGTTAATGTTTATAGATAAAGTTAAAAGAAGCAGATTTCTCTCTGATGATCACTATATTTTTAAACTTTTCTTGTGTTTTGTTGTTGTTGTTTATTTATTTGTTTTGACCAAAAAAAATCATTAAATTTTCTGTGCTGGCCCCCAAATTGTAACTTTCCTGCCTCTGCCTCCAGAGTAGCTGGGGTTGTGTGCCTATGCCAACATGCTTAATCTCCATGCTATGTGGAGCAGACATCAGCCAATCTACATTTCCTCTCACACTGCCTGCATGGAGGAACATCACGACATGGTGTTTGGGCGTCTGTAACAAACTGAAAGGTCATTTCTGCAGAAGATGCATAGAGCAGATACGAAGAGCCCCAGTGCACAGACAAGCAGACCAAAGAGGAGAGAAGTAGCTGCACCCACATGGTCTCTGAAGGGCACCTATAAGGATGGGAAATAGCAGAGCTAGGGGACTTTCTAAGTTAGATTTCTCCAAGAATGAATTCTGTTTCAGAAATAGCTGAAGGGAGCAGCTGTTGCTGAAGGAAGTGGGATTACTGGTGGACAGGGAACAAAAGAGAACAGTGAGAGGCACAGGCTTTTATATTCTGGTTTCACAATCCATTTGCCAATGTGCCTCCATTCTTTTAGAATAAATTGGGAAAACCTGATTCACCTCTCTTACAGATGCATTGCAATGTCATTCCAGCAGACAAATGTTATGCAAGAGTGGTGGTGTGACACTGAAGATGTTTTATGATGGCCACAGTAAATAGTAATTCCTACAATGTATAAAGGTAAGAAAACATACAGTGTGGACTAGATAGAAAATCATAGTAACAAAGAAACACGTGAAAATATTTCCCTAAGGATGCACAGACTAGTAAATAATGAATAATTTGACAGCATAGGTAAATCAGCACGCATGCTTAAACTATTTTTACAAGTTGCAGGAGACAAAGAAGCATAAATATATAATGCATTTTTGAATTCACCAAAATATAATACTCATCAAACTTGCATAGTAGTTCCTCAACCAATCACATTTAATAGTTATTAAAATACCAAGAGCAAGTTATTTGGGCAGGGATCACCTTTCAGATCTTCAAAGGACCCTGACATATGCCAAGAGATCTCCTCTAAACCCTTAAAAAGTCCTAGTGGATTGCAGAACTTTAATTTAGAATTCCCTACCCCTTGTGAATAGAGAATGTACTCTTATGGATAGGAAGACAAAAGCAACCAGAGGTTACTAAGGGTAAAAATAGTTCAAAATAAAGGCAAACACACATTTCTCATTTCTCATTTGGACATGGAAGCTGAAGGACTTATAAATATACAATCAAAATCCTATTCATACCAGCAACAATCAGCAAAATAGCATGTGATAACGGTTTACCATTAGGTGGCTGATTACCTAATTCACACTTAATGGGCCTCGAACATAATTTTTCCTACAATTCTTCAGAGAATGTGATACAACTTTGTTCCAATATTAGGACAGATTTTTATAATGTAGCAGCAGGAGAGATGGCCTAAAACTCCCTCTCCATTTCCTTAATTCATTCACTCAATAAATACATTTTTAATGTTTGCTTTTTGTTGGACACTATATCAAAAGAAATTCAGTCTCAAAAGTCAGCTAAGGAAAGCATCAGACTAGTGTGTTCCACTTAGGAAAACATATGTCACTATAAGTGGGCCAGAAAGCTTTCACAAAAGATGAGAAAACAGTGAACAGAAACCATCTACATGACAAGAAGGAAGAGTCATTCCCCTTTAGGGAATAGCAAGAATGAAAGCAGGAGATGCAATAAACAGATAAAAATTTTAAAAAGGGTGGGAGAGACCAAAACGAGAAACAGAGTCATATGCCTGGAGTGAGGGCTATTGACAGGGAAATGGGAAAAGAGAGGCTAAGACAATGAGCAGCAGGGGACAATGGAGATCCCATTCTTAGCGCCTACTAGACTTGTTTTAAAATGCAGTATTAAAAAGCCAACCACAATTTTTGATCTGTTGCAAAGTGTCCATGCTATATGTGAAAGGAGCTATATACACTCTGGAAACTGAACAGCGGTGATCTACAGGTGTGGGTTATGTTGATGGGATAATCTCAAAAGTCCAAGAAAGACATCAACAAGCCCTCAGCTAAACCTGAATACCAATATTTGTGAATCATCCTCCTATGATATGATGAACCCATTACAGCCACCTGATGAACAAGTTTGAGTGACTGTAGGAATAAGTGATCAAAGGTTAGAGATGACATAATTAGATGTTTTGTCCTTTGAGTGATGCAGCTGTCTCTTAGATAGAATAATTCACCCTGACTGAGTAACAGCTTGCTCACTTGCCAAGCAGCTCCATTTCAGATTTAAGGCACTCTGCCAATGTCTGGAAGGGACTTGGGAGGTAGCTCCTATAACACCTCCTCATTGTAGAGGTGAAAATCAGACTCACAGAAAATACATGCTTACATAAAAAATTATGTGACCATTGTGATGGTTGGACGGAATCAGGCAGAAGACATTAAATGTCATAATGCCTGTCAACCAAAATAGTTATAACAGATTTGAAAATAATACCAACTATCAAATTCGGCTTCTGTGGATCATGTTTTTAAAAGTGTTTGACTTGTCACATTAAAAAAAAAAAAAACTACAGGGTCAACATCTTAGACTTTCTTAATAATTTTCTGCTCTGACAGTGAAGTATAAGGACCAGGGATAAATTCTGAGTGCATAATTTAGTATAAAAATGACATATTCTTACCATGATCTTCTGAAGAGACTGGTGACCTAAAAAAGATAATATAAACATGGTAAATATTTTATAAACAATGATAACAATTAGTATAAATAATTTTACAGGAATTATATAGTGAAAATTCAGTTAAGGTGGGGCTGGAAAGGTGGTTCGGTGGTTAAGAGCACTTGCTATTCCTGCAGAAGACCCAGGCTTGGTTCCCGGCATCTGCATGATAGCTCACAGCCATCCTTAAACCTAGTTCCAGGTGATCTGACACCTTATGGCCTCCATGACTACCAAGCACACACATGGTACACATACATACATGCAGGCAAAACACTCAAACACATAAAATAAAAAATAATTTTAAAAATCCTAAGAAAAAGTCAGTTAAGGAGAAAGTGAGTTTAGCAGGTAATACAATTAATGTACCTGCTAAAAGGCATATTCTAGTTAATACAACGTCCATATTGTCTGGATTGGTTGAGTAATATCATGGGTTACTATAATGTCAGCAGCTTGGCATGGTGTCACAGGGCTACAATAAATTTAATTAAGTCTGAACTTATCTAGAAAGAATGAGAATGTATTGAAATGTTATCAAACATGTAAAATAAATGCCAGGAACACAAACGTGAGCTAAATTTTATGCATAAAGGAATGTGCTTGGATATTTTTAAAATGGAACAGAAGTAAAAATGAATGTACCATTATCATTATTTTTTGTTTCAATTATTCATGGAATTTAATGTTTGTATGAGCTTAAGACAGATCTTCTGTGTGATGGCCTAATATCACCAAATCTATGAGAATCAGAATGAGACAAAAAACTGTTGGAGCCTCACAAGTTTAATTAACCAATAACTTTTATATATCACCTGTAAGTTTAGTTTCAATTATAATAGTTTTCAAATGGAACATCATGTCAACCATAAAAATACTTCCTCCTCAGTTGACATCCAAGTGAGATATCTTGACAAGGAGCAATACCATCTTGAATATGAAGTATTGACTGATGAGCAACACATGCTGTAGAATTCTTAGAAGCTAGAAGGTAAAAGGAAGAAACCCCATGCTTCCTCTAGATATGCTGCATCCTTTTCTCTTAAAAGCTGGTCCATCACAGTCATTAGGGTGGCAACCCATGACAAGTGAAGATACTGGCAAATGTAGCTACGTAATTTATCATTGATATTCCTGAGACACGAGAGAGAAACATTGAAGGGAGTACACATCCAAAGACGTACTAATTGTTGAAGCAGTGTTAAACAGCTTGAGGATGCAACTGCTTCCCTGGATCTACTGATGAGCAACATGGCTTTTGGTTATGTGAGTACACACAATGGTTGCATGCATGGTAGTAATGGGAAAAAAAAATGTAAACATCCATTAGTGCAAAATGCTCACCCACTTCAGGCTCATGAGCCTTTCCAAGAAGAATTCTGCACATGAAAGAGAGAGTCCCAAGACTTGATGGGAAAAAATTGAGTGTCCAAGGGGCAAATAAACTAGATGAATGATGAGCAGAAATTGACAAATTACTAACCCAAGAAACAGTTAAGCCTCCCCTGTTGGAATTGATTTATGTGCCTCTTAAAGTTTCCAGATTTTGTGCTGTCCACACACTGGTCTTTGTAGGTAATTGCCTCCTGGCAATGCAGAAACACATCATAGTTAGAAAAAGCAGGATATTGCTTCACAGTTGTTGAATTGAATGGATTTCAGTACCGCCAGGCTGGTATTCAGAATCAGATACATTTAGGAGAACTGTCGGCTTCTGAGCTATCTAGGAGAAAGGGAGCCTTGGAATGAGCACCCTCAAAGCCAAAAGATGCCCAAGACATCCAGCAATAGGGATATCCATATCTATTTTAGCAGGGAAAAATAAGTGGTGAATGTGTTGAATAGACGGTAAAATGGAATTCAAAGGTGATTCTAAAGAGCATAGACTGGAAATAGCATAGCCTAATGAAGTTGCCGGAGGCATGAAAAGTGAGTCGGTAACAAAGAAACATCTTCACTTCTGATTTTTTTTTATGAAAAGTAAAGCAAAAACATATTTATAATTAATTTCTGATAGAGACTTAGAACAAAGAGAAACCCATGCCCAGGGCCTCCTGCAAGTCTCAGGTGGGAGCTCCAGAGTCTTTTCTCTCTTTCTGCAAAGCACTTAATACTAAATCTGAAAAAGTCCAGATGGCTCCACGAGAGTCCCATGGGGATGCATTCCGAAGTATGTCCAGGCAGCGAGGACGAACTATCTGTTTCAGAGTGTTTTGCAAGGATTAGTCATGTTGAATTTCTGCGGCTGAATGTCTCCCACACTCCTGGCCGTGTGGAATTTGAAGACATATGGAGTATTTCAACCCTCACTCAGCCTTTCACCTTTCACTGCACAGCATCGCTAGATTACACTACTGAGACAAGCACTTCATCCATTTAGGCTGGGACTGGGCATGCGAAGTTTCACAGAACTCGGCTCAAGAGGGAAGAAATATCCACAATGAGCAGTATAGCAGTTATTTTTAAACTAGAGGTTGAATCCCAGGCATGGATCATCTTTCTGTTAGCTGAGCCTGACAGCTGAGGCACACAGGAAAGCTCTCCACTTACTCCCCGACATGTCTGAGCGACATAGGCCTCAGCTTGTTCCAATTCCCTTCCATGTACGCAATCTTAGATCTAGAAGCTGCCTTCACAACATGAATTATTACTAACATTTACTAACTCAACGATGTAGAGTCCCTCTCTATATATTCCTAATCACTAATCCTTACTATAATCTACAGAATATATACGTTTTTGTTATGCTTTATTGAGTGTTTGGCACTATTTATATTCTTATTTCATTCAAATTCAGGAAATTGAAAAAAAAATAAGAGCAAAACCAAAATAATCCAAGACTACACTCAAAATTTATTATTCTGTTTTATCAAACATAAATTGTTATCATTCATACTCGAGTATTTTAATTCATATTGATTTAATGAGTGAATCAAGGCTCCAAATGTTTGTCTTACATGAAGACATGGAGAAACAAAGGACAATATCAGAAAATTCATAATCCAGTGAAGAATAAAAAACCCTGCTTATAACATAGTGACATAACATAGAAAAACAAATGCTTATACCATAGTGAAAAGTATCACAATAAAGAAACATGTAGGAAGTAAAAGGTTAACAATGCAGAGAGATCAATCATGTCCCCAAGAATAAAACAAACTCAAAAGGTCAAAAACATCTTGCCCCAGCTTTACAGGATTAATAAGAGCTCATTAATAAGTAAGTGAGAGAAAAATTCTCGACAGAAGAAATAGGTACATAAAACAGCCAGAACTGAAATTTCATAGACATTATCAGAAACATAAATAACTCAGTACTGCTGAAATGCAAAGGGATGATAAAACCCATGACTGGGGGAGCTGGGGCCATTCCATATGGAGCCTATAAATCTATTTTCAACTGTCTGGAATTTACTTTCTAAAATAAATACCAAAAACATGTTTGAAAGTCACATGTTCTGGTTTCCATTTTTGAATGATTCAGAGAGAACAGAGAGAAGATAAACTCTGGGGTCCCTGTCAAGCTTCCATGTCAAGAAGGAAGAATAAAAACGTCTGTTTTTCGATTCTCTTTGAAACCCATGAAAAATAACGGGGAGGCTGGAAACCAGTAAAAACACCTTTTAATAATCTAAATGTTTATAAACTAAACCACCGTATATGAACAAGAGTCACCAAATATCGTAAAAGCTGGTCTACATTTCAGGAGAACAGTCATGATTTCAAAATGCTATAAAGACACAGCTACGTCATATACCACAAAGATAGGGCAGAAAGCCCTCCTCTGAACTGAGATGTCCAGCTCTTGAGACCTTGGATCAAACCCCAGAGGACAGTCCTCACCAAAAAGCATCTGAAAATTAACAACCCGAACTCAACCCTCCTGCAATTATCTACTCCAAGCAAGAAGTTCTGGGAAGAACTTAGCCAGTGAAAATATCACAAGTAATCAAAAAGCCACCATAGATCCACCAAAAAAAAAAAAAAAAAAGAAAGAAAGAAAAAGAAAAAAAAAGTCAGCAGTCAGCCCAACGTACTAAAAAGATGAGGACATGAAGTTATGGATGGTTACTCAATCTGCGTGATATTCGAAAATGGAAAAAGTGAACAGAGTGGTGAGTCGGGAGGGAACCAGAGCCTGTGAGAATTACAGAAAGGAATGTAATGACCAGGAAATCCATGGGGGCAGAAGAGCGCACAGGCTGGCCTGGCCTTCAACTGGCCTCCCCTTTAACCAGAGCATGACAGAGAGAGAGGAGCCTACCTGATGTCACAGGAAAGAGAAAAGCAGCACAAGAGGTAAATAATTTAAAATGTCAGGACATGAAACACTTTTAAAAGTGTTCCACCATTTTTCTGTGTACCTGGTCTTCCTATGTTGAGCAAATGCAAGGCCCTTGCAGCATGTACAACATTTTCTAAATAGAACCTTAAAAGCAATAGAAACAAAAGCAAAGCCAGACAAATGGAATTCTACCACACTGAAAACATTCTACATATCAAAGGAAACAATCAACAGACAGCAGATAACATACAGAATGTGAGGAAGTATTTGCAGACTATCTGATAAAAGAATAAAATCAGGTTGGGGATTTCGTTGCGTGATAGAACACTTGCTTGCCTAGCAAATGCAAGGCCCTGGGTTCGATCCTCAGCTCAAAAAAAAAAAAAGGAATAAAATCTGCAATATGTAATGAAAAATGATAGCAAAAAAAGAATCAATCAAGAAAAAAATCATAATTGACATTTCTCAAAAGACACAAATGACACCCCCCCCCTCAAGAAAAGTAAAAAACTGCTCAGAATCATGTCAACAGGAAAATGGAAGGCCAAAGTCATGAGGTCTTATTCCTGTTAGGGTGTCCATGGTCATCAACACATGAAAATAGTAATAATGACGGCAAGAATGGAGGGAAAGAATACTTGCAGGCTGGTGACTGGAATATCAATTCATAAGTCCATAACCCACATCTAGAGAAGTTATCAAG